GGGGGGGGGCGCGCCGGGCCTAGATCCGCCCTTGGAACAGGTAGATCTACAGCTGACACGTACAACAATATAGTTATACATACTGCAAAATTGCAGGTACATGCAGTATATATTTTTTATATATACAACGTATAAATGATTAGGGAGTTCTCCGAGAATGAGATGGCGGTTTAGATACGCATTCGATCCAACGAGCAAACACAAAGGGGAACGAAACTGTAGCCTGGTGTAAGAGGAGTAAATTGTTTCCGTGTTGTGTTTACACGAGCCCGGCGTTATCAGTAGTCTGTAGCCCTACACTGTGGAAGTGGCCTAAATTTTAACAGGCATGAGCGCTGACGTGGAGTCTCTACAGGGAAATATGTTGTGTTCATGATAATCTGGGAACTTTGCTATAGACAGACACAATGGGTAAGTTTGACGATTATATACATGGCTATATACCCTGTGTAGTGTGTAGGGGTGTTGCATTACCAGGGGGTCATGGTCACCAACCATCGTGATCTAGACTTTACTTATTTGGTGACTATTTAACTAAACTTGAGAAATCCGATACCTCAATATGTCGATATGTGTAAGCTCCAGATACGGTGATAAAATGAATATTGTTAATATATGATATCATACACATATATGTCGATGGCAATGGTGTAACGACGAACGAAGATTATATACCAGTTTATAACGTACATAACTAGTCGTGAAAACCCAATGCATGTGTAGATCGAGGCTTCACAGAGCTCAGCAGCCTGACTGCGATCTTGTAGAGTACACTCGAACTATCAGTACAATTTATAAACATGTAGCTATTTAGCCCGAGTTTCCTCTGGCCCTTGCTCCAGACTTAGACATCGTCTGTCAAAATGTTTTAAGTCTGATGTAAGGGCGAGAGGAAATCGGGCTAGTGACTGATGTATTACAAGTATGTATACAGTAGTGTTGCCACTGATATCAGATGCAAGTTACTTGATTAAGATTTGTGAATCGTGATCCTAGTTTTTAAAGTCCTATCTGGCCTGACGACAATCATAAGGTACACAAACTCACACTCAAAGGAAACTGAATGGTAAAAGGTTCAAAATTGTACGCAGAAGTTTAGAAGTGTTTTTAAAATCTTTGAAGTAAAGGCCAACTCAAGTATGTAGAAAGACGTAGTTTATAAGCATACGTAGACAAATATACTACTAAATTGTCTAATAATAAATGGAAATAAAATGTTAGCAGCATGCTACTGTATTCGTTCTGATGCCTGATATACATTTGTTTAGCCCGAGAGATATAATGATCATACGTTAATATTTGTTGTACATTTTATTTTATCTTAGCATTCTAACGTAACCGGATAGACCAACGTACGCGTGTACTAGCAAAACTTGATACACAATCACTGACGTATTTGTTTGTCCCCGCTGTCGTCGTTAAATCTTTGATTACAGCACGAGCAGGCTATGTACATGTAACAAGGAGTGACGGTAGACCTTATTGTGTTGATACCACCACCAGCATAATTAAACGCATGTTTGACTTAGACTCATTAGTATAGGTGACGTGTTAATGACTGACTTGACGGGAGTTGGTGACCTATATATATTAACACACACTCTTTAGCCCAATACAAACATCCTGGAAGAGACGTCCAGTCCGGTTCAGGGATTCCTTACCTGGTAAATCATAATAGACATTTATCTATAAACAGTTACTGAGTCTGTCAGTGAAAAATCCTAGCTGTTTCATGAAATCGATAGGCGCCAATCTGTGTTAGATGTTTCAGTAGGCTTAACTCAAATTTCGGACAGTCCTAGTTGTTACGGCAGACAGCTGTCCCCGAGGACATGAAACACTGATGCCGAAATAAGCGACCAGATAAATCGTGTATAGTGAAACAACGATATCTTGCGGGAAGGTTACGATACTTGTACGGAGATATATAACGAGATAAGGAAGAACCCATGGCCTCGACAATGATATGCCCAGAGGCTCATAAACTCATTTACACAGGTATGCAGTACAGGTATAGACTTACATGTGACAGGTGCGACTGTCATGCGTATACATCACATTAATGAAATCCACAGTAACGTGTCAGGCTGGATTACTTTTATCTTTTACATACGGTTATTGATATTCTGTCACAAATTCTCGACTGTCTTTTCCAAATGTTGGCATTTGTTTAAGTTTATTTTTTATTTGTAAACTCCTATGATAAAGAAAAAAGAAATAATTGATCAAGCGTACAAGTAATACTTCACCGTTCACGTTTAACTCGCAGGAAGATATACAAACGAGCGTCACCATGTATTTACTGTTCTAAATAAATATGTACTGCGCCGTAACTGAAAACACGGACACGTACTCAGATTTGGAGCGTTACTTTCGTTTCTCTTGAACATTCTCCACGAGTTTCTGATTTTCAGTATATAACAATTATATACATTAAAAATCAAACTTTATATTAATCATTCTGGTTGGCTCTGGTCAGGGATGTGTCCACTACACATCCCTGGCTCTTGTGGAAGAGCTCAATGAATGGTAATGAGGGAGGAAACCGGAGTACAAGGAGAAAGAACCCAAATGTTCAGGCAGGTGACCCCATACATTTTCACGTCTGATCGGGGAAACGAAACCCGGCCGCCTTGGTGAAAGGCGAACGCGCGCGCGCGCGCGCTCTCCGCTGCGCCACCCGACCTCCAATGGTAGCTAACGAAAATAAAACGGGTTTTCACCATGTCAGTTACAATTATAGTAGAACCTACTATGTCTTATGTAAATATGTTCTCCTGAACATTACAGAGCTTATCATATCATAGGCTATGTACATGTTTACTGTACGAAGCAAGCGAGATAACTCTTAATTCTGTGAGTCGAGATTATCCGGTGTGTGTCACTGTGGAATAGCAAAATATGTCTTACATTTGTTTCATTGCAATCTTCGGTAAAAGACTTCCTTAAAGTTTATGAGGTCATAGTAAAGTAAATTAAAAAAAATACCTCATTAATGCCGTTTTTGATATACAATGGCGATGTCGAGAAGATAACAATGCATTAAGCGATAGGATTATTATTTTTTTATTTCCTCCAAATTGAAGAGTTACAAAAATGTACAGTGTAGTCAAAATACAAATCAAATATTATTAATTGATACCTAAATGGACATAAATACAATAGTGTACATAAGCTACAAGTGTATCTATGTAGTTATTAGTATAGTTAATGTTTTGTTTTACCTCACACATCATGTTTTGTGTACGAGTTCACTGATATACTACACGTACCTAACGCATTATGCCCGAGACCTGTGTTACCTCACACATTATGTTTTGTGTACGAGTTCACTGATATACTACACGTACCTAACGCATTATA